TTTATTTGGGGTCTCATTCTGTCGCCCAGGCTGGAGTGCAGTGGCACACTCATGACCACTCCAGTGTCAATCTGCTGGGTTCCAGTGATCCTTCCACCTCAGCTTTCCAAGTATCCGGAACTACAGGCACGCACTACCGTGCCCAGCTAATTTTTCGATTTATTGTAGAGATAGGGTCTCATCATGTTTCCCAGGCTGGTCTCAAACCTGTGAGCTCAGGTAGTCCTCTTGCCTCGGCCTCCCAAAGTGCTGGGATTATAGACTTGAGCCACCACACCCAGTCACAACCCCTTTTTCTTTCTCCATAGCTGATCATGAGCAAACGATATGATGGCTCCCAACAAGCACTTGACCTCAAGGGCCTCCGTTCAGACCCAGGTATGGTTGATAGCAGTAATTCTCAGATAGGTGGAGATGGGATGGGTCTGTCAGGGAGGGAAAGTTTGAGGATGGTTTAGTGCTAACGCTGGCCTGGGCAAGCTCTCTCAGACTTCCCTTTCCTTTCTTTTTGTTTCCTGAAGATTTGGTGGCCCAGAACATTGACGTTGTCCTGAATCGTAGAAGCTGTATGGCGGCTACCCTGCGAATCATTGAAGAGAACATCCCTGAGGTGAGGCCTTTGGCACAGTATTAAGCATGAAGAAGCAGGGAGAATAGATAAGATGGGGTTGGGGGACAGGTATGCCTCTGATCCACTTACTGGTGCTTCTTCTAAACTCTTCTCTCTTCACAGCTATTGTCCTTGAACATGAGCAACAACAGGCTATACAGGCTGGATGACATGTCCAGTATTGTGCAGAAGGCGCCCAACCTAAAGATCTTAAACCTTTCTGGAAATGAAGTAAGAATTGATAGCCAGCTCTGTTTTTGATGTGGTGGGCAGAGGGTGGGGAGGTTTTGCCTGATGATGTAAGAGGGAAAAGAGAGAACTCAAAGATGAGGATAGGGATTGGGGGTGTGAGGATCCAGCTAGCTCTCTCACCAGGCTCCCTTTATTTCCTACCCTTTGCAGTTGAAGTCTGAGCGGGAGTTGGACAAGATAAAAGGGCTGAAACTAGAAGAGCTGTGGCTTGATGGAAACCCCCTGTGTGACACCTTCCGAGACCAGTCCACTTATATCAGGTCAGTTGTAGCCTCTGTCTCCCCTCCTGGGGACCTTCACCCCCTGGGAGGCTGAGGTAGTGTACCCTGACCAGTGCCCGTCTGCAGGAGATGTGCAGCCCTGAGCTGGAACCACCTGTCCTATGGGAGGATCACGTGCTCCTCCTTTGGTCTGTCTGTGTCTCTCAGCTTTGCCCCAAGATCTTGTCTCCTTTCTTCTCACCTGTTTATCTATTTGCTGGTTCTGTGATCTTTCTTCTTTCTTCCTGAACATAGCCTTTTCCAGAATCTCCCTACCCTGTTGTTCCAGGAAGGACATCTCCCCTTCTTTACTCTGATCGGGGAGTGTCTTATAGATGCACCCTAGGTGGGGTTGCCTTGTACTAAGAGCCTGGTTCCTTGAGCTAAGAAAGCCCTCCCTATCTGGGACTTTCTGCGAGATGGGCCTTTCTTCCTTTATACTGTGATGGTCCCTCTTGCCCTTGCGCCAAAGAGGGACCCCAATTCTCACAATCTACTTGCCCAATGCTGTTGCCTGGGCTTTCCTGCCCATGCTAAGGTTGAGGCCTCGTGGGGGCTGGTGCCATGCAGTCTGTCTCTCTTGCCCAGTGCTGGGCCATCCCTGGAGAAGAGACCTGGGTTCCCTAAGACGTGACCAGAGCTGGGCCCCGCCAGCAGGCGAGGGAATCCCAAGGCAGGTGCTGGGCGTGGAGGCCACGGGGGCATAGGCTACCAAGGAGACAGAGAACTGACCCTCTCGGGGGCACTGTCCCTCCCTCATTCACACACCGCACGTCACCCTGCTTGGCCCCGGAAGATGGCTGGTTAGCCAGAGACGGGTAAGATTCCTCAGGAAAGGAACAACCTAAGACAGGCACAGTCGCAGAGGGGCCATCAGGAGAGAACTTGGGGGCCAACAGAGGTGGGGCACAGACCCTCACCCCCCCAACTTTACAGGGGCCTGAACCCTCACCCCTTCTGAGGGAGGTCTCCTGCCCCCATGGCTGCTTTGCTTCCCACGCCCAGCTCAGATTGGGACCCAGGTAGCAGACAGAGACCTGGCCGATAGCAGCTGCTCACTCACCACAGCAAGGACTTGTTTCCCATTTCTATCTTGGACCAAAGGAATGGGGCAGCTGAAGGAAAGGGCTGTGTCAAGGTGTCCCTCTCCCTTTTTTCCCCTTGTTTTTCTAAATGCTTTCTTGCCTTGTAGTTCTTTCCCTTTTTCTTTGCTTCTTCTTTCCTTTACCTTTCGATTCCCTATAGCTCCCACATCTCTTCCTTGTCCCATCCGACCTCTTTCTCTTCTCCTTTTCCTTTCCTCTCTTCTTCCTTTGCCTCTCCTGTTCCTGAGCCCTCCCTGCTCATCTCCCTGCCCCAACATCCTGTGCCATCCCTGTGGTGTGTTCTGGTCTTGGCCAAGGCCAGACCTGGCAGAACTGATGGATACCTGGTGAGGCAGCGGAGCCCCTGGGCTCCCACCCCATTCCCTCCTCCCGGGGCTGCACAGGTGAGTAGGTGGAAGGTAAGGGGGGCAGCGAGGGGAAGGAGATCCTAGGCTTAAAGCCTGGGCCGGGAGTGCTGCTCTTTGTGGCACTCGGGGTCAGGCAGAGAGAGAAGAGATAGCCTTCAAGGCAGTCCATGTCTGGGTGCCCCAGGTGAGGTGGGGAGTGGGGACCATTTTTTCCTGAGCACAGCCTGGGGAGGAGTGGGGGGATGAGCAGGATGGAATGGGCTGTCCCTCGGGTTTGGTTTATTTGCTCCTAGAGCAGCCCAGGAGGCACAGTGGCTCTGAAGCATCACTCACTTCTGTCCCGTTCTTGACAGCGCCATTCGTGAACGATTTCCCAAGTTATTACGCCTGGTAAGTCCATAACTTTCATTCTCTTCTAAGGAGCTTAGCATTTCCCATGCCCAAGGTCTTGCCTAACATGTTTTTATGTGACTGTTAATTTGGGGATGTGGATCCCCTTAAAAATCTGATGAAGGTTTTAATCCTTCTTAGAAAAATGCTTGTGTGGCTAGGTGCGGTGGCTCAGCCTGTAATCCCAGCACTTTGGAAGGCTGAGGCAAGAGGATTGCCTGAGCCCAGGGGTTCGAGATCAGCCTGGGCAACTTGGTGAGACCTCGTCTCTACAATCAATCACAAAAACTAGCAATGCGTGGTGGAATGCATCTGTAGTTCCAGCTACTTGGAAGGCTGAGGTGGAAGGATTGCCTAAGCCCCGCAGGTTGAGGCTGTGGTGGCTATGAGTGTGCCACTACACTCTAGCCTGGGTGACAAGAGTGAGACTCCAACTCAAAAAAAAACCGTTTGTAAGCCGGGCTCGGTGGCTCAGCCTGTAATCCCG